AAAATACATCTTTTAATTATGAGTATCATAGGTCATTTTACAAATATTAATAACATTAGAACAAGCAAATTAAATAAACGTAACAATTTGTGGGGGATATCATTAAACAACAAATTACGTAAGACACCGCTTGTAGTTCAAATATATGTAACGTGGAGTTGAGTATATTATAACTTACTATCTGGTATCAATAACACAGACGATCCACATAACCGGTATCGTATCTTACTGAATTACTATGTTATAACGAAAAACGCCTTAATTTGAATCTTTTATTTACCAATAATATAAATAATTTCTAAACTAATCTTGACCCTAATAAAGTCAGTGATAGCCTAGTGGTTAAAGGGCCCGCCTCTCGTTGCCGAGGGCGCGGGTTCAAACCTGGCAAGTACCAATGTGATTTTTCGGAGTCATATGTACTTTCTAAGAGTATTTAGATACCACTGACATACGGTGAAGAAAAACATCGTGAGGAAACCTGGACTTACAGTTTCACAATTATAAGTTTGAAATCACAAACCCGTCTTGAGCAAGCGTGGTGATTAATGTTCAAACCTTCTCCATGCGAGACAGAGGCCTTTGCTCAGCAGTGGGCTCTGATTGGCTGATGACTGACTTGACCCTAATGTACTCTAGCTGTTTTTATAATGATAATGCATTAAATAAAGTTTAAAATCTTAACTAAAATAGATGTCAGTTTACAGACATTACAATTAGACAATAATATGTAATCGAAATTTTTATGTAAAATAAGGTTTGTTTTACTTTTTTTTTTGTTCCCATTAAAGAAGAAGGTAATTTTAATATAGACATTCAATACATAAACCTCCATTAAATTATTAATTAAGATTAAGACTAACGTAAAATTCTGGTTACATTAATGAGAGTGGTAATTATATGTATGTAGTATCTGAGACAAGACCGGTAAAAGGCTTATTAAGAATAATAGTTATTTTAAAAGCAGTAAAAAGTACTTACTTCGTAAAACAGTTGGCAGTACTCCGCAATAAACGTAACGAGTGTACAATGTCTGTCCTGGGAGCAGTTAATGATCTATATAGGCTTGTGATATTATAAACTCTCAAACATTAAAGTAAAGCACACTAATTACTACTAGTTTCTATCGTGAACGCTGACGGTTAGTTAGATTTCAATTCTTAAATTTTATTCTTAGACATCCTACAGGTCCGAGTCAGAACTTTTTTACAGTCATTCCCTTGCACCACAATCACTAACACGACCTTAGTGAAAAACTAAGTATTAAAATCTATATTAAATGTTGGATATTAATACAAGGTAGCAGTCATGGACTTGTCCCAACGAATTATAAATTAATGTTACTTAATTAATAAGAAATGTATATTTTTTGTATCCCGTATGTTGTGAATTTATTATAATGATGAAAACAAACATAGTTAATAATTTTCCTCGCGTCGTGAAATTGCTCGCAGTATTTTCTGAAAGCAATTCTGTTCAGTTCATAAACCGTGTGTATTAAAAACGTAATGTCTCTGTTGTATAGTAATGTAGTGATGTGTCGCTTTAATAACGGGAACGAGATCACGATTGTTTTATAAATATTAAAGAAAACTTCGTAGTCATAAAAATTACTAGAGAAAATTAATAAAAGTATTGAAATAAGTTCCAAGTTGTTTTAACAGCAAACTAGTAAATATTGAGAAGTTCTCAATAGATAAAAAATTTAGCTGATTTATGTTATATAAAAAATATTTTCACTCATCTATTTCCATCAAATGTATAATCATCTACTTAGAACTTTAAGGAGGGACAATAACTACTAACAATAAATATCTTATAAGTAACATTTTAATAACAATAAATATTAAAAATCAACGCAGAAGACAATGTATATTTTTTTACAATTTATAGAGATTGAAATCTTCATGTTAGCCTGACGAGTTCTTTCTTTGAAACAAAATATGTAATTCAGTAAACGTGAAACTAGTTCAGTTTGACCCACCTTCACCTAAATTAATAACATCCACAATAAGCAACTGATATGTCGATCCAGGTAGACATCTCATCTAGTAAAGCAGTCTGGTAAGGAAGTTTTTCTTAAATTTTTTAAATCTTAATCAATATTAATTTAAAAAATTATGAAGAATATTGTAAGTTCATAAAGGTCTGATTTTTTACATAAATACTATCATTACACAAAAAGCACAGTAACCCTTTGATATGATATTTTATGAAAATATAAAAAACAAGTAGAGAAGATTAATAAGACTGTAGCTATAAAGATATTTTATTAAGATTAGAAAAGAAATATTATTTCTTAAATATGAATATTACTAATAATAACTCTTCATGTTCACAGTATTACACAAGAATCCATCAAAGTAGTTTAAACGCGATGCGGTAAGTTTCTTCTTTGTTACGTCAAAATGTTAAAATGTTTATAAACACCTCGAGCACTTACTCTAACATTATTAAGCTGTGTATACTCACATCTTTAACGATTGTAAGATTTGTGAGCAAGTTTTCACAAATAAGTTGTGGAAGTAATATTTTTCATGGTAATTGGTGAGTAAAAAGAAATAATGAAAATAGGTACTAAAATAAAACGAATAGGATGTAAAAAGTAATTGCCAGGATACAGCACTTAGGTACCACGAAGATGTTAAAAGAATAAAGTGATAGTAACCGCTTGAAGAAGAATTGTATCAATGAATTTAATAAATCTGTGTCCACACACTGATGAAGGACGGATGATTAATTATTATAATAAATAAAACAGTTTGAAAAGATATGGTATTAGTTTGGTGTTTGACTTGCCTTACCAAAGACTAAATGTGTTCAGTTGTATATCTTTATGAAGTTTTAAATGTAACTTTTTTTACATCCCCTTAGGAAATAGAAAAAAAAAATTATTAGTCTGCTTTAAAACAGACAATCAACTAACAGTGTAGTCACAACTCACAAAAATATAATTTTACTTTCCACCTCATTATTATTATTATGTTAATTATTATACCATATTATATTTTCTGACGTGTCCAACCATTGACTTGATTTTAACAACTGTTTTATGGTTTTATTTTTATACTTTTTTATTTGTTAACTATTTATTGTTTCACACATAAACAAGTATATCGTATTCATATAATGTGATATTATCAACGAATATTAAATATCCAGAATATATTATTATAAAGAACATGTATTAATTATATTTTAGCATAATTCACCTTCATGACTTGTAAATAAGATTAAAATACACACGGTCATAGTTCATTATGCAGGAGAGTACAGAAAGTACCGCACGCGCCGGACGCGGGGACTCCCGACTCATATAGAACTGTACTAAATTATCTTCAAACAAATGTTTGATGACTAAATTACTCTAAGATTAGACATGTACCATTAAAATATAACCGAAAAGAAAAGTCCAATATTGAGGTTTCTTATGGCTCTGCTAATAATAATAACTTATTAATTAGCCTCAACTAAATAGTTTAACCTAATTATCTGTTTCATATCATGTTGTTAAAGTAAATATTAAATTTGAATAAGCTTTTATCACATATAAATAAACACTATTATTAGAAGGTATCCACATCGAGTGATCTCTGAAGTCAGACCGTCATTGTCTATTCGTATTCATTTTTCATTTCATAAGTTTCCCAAACTCACACAAAATAATATGTGTGTCACAATCATTAATTATTATTATTCATGTGTTGGATGCGGGTGACACAAGACCGGTCGTCGTGGAGATCCTTGGGGGAGGCCTATGTCCTGCAGTGGACGTCTTTTGGCTGATGATGATGATGATGATGTGTTGTTGTATCATATTTATCGACATGTAATTCACCGCCTCTTCAACGCGCCGGTGTATTCTCTTATATATTTTAAATAAGTTGTCAATCGTTATCAATATGTATAATATATTCTGATAAACATTACGGAATCTTAGCACGTCATGACTTCTCTATTGTTACAGTTTAAGTGTTTGAGGAAAATTATAAAATATACACGCATGAGCTCCGCCTTGTAAAAACATTATCGTTAATAAACAATTACAATATATTTTTTTGATTTGATTGATTTCTTTAATAAAGTTTTTTTTTCTAGAAGAATAATAAAATGCTCATGAATATTTTTTTTTCTAATATTATATTAATTCTCTATAAAAAAAATGCGCGCGTACAAAGTACACAATGTCAGAAGTGAAACTTCTTTTTCGAACTACTTTATAAATCTTGTTTATATCTATACAAATCTAAAACGTTATACGACGTCCGCTCTGTCGCACTTTTTCTCTCAATCTTTCACACTTTCTCGCTCCCTACTCTTACTCCACGGCTAGTTACTTCATGCTACGTTCGCCCTGTCTCACTCTCTTCTCAATCGGACTCGATCGCTCTCTCTCTCTTTTTCAACACTTCCGTTGCTTACCGGCGTGATCATCATACATAACTAATGGACATGCCGTACGCGTATAATCTGCAGTAATTTTTTGCTTTGAAAACATCACTCACGAGAGATGGCCTATGCTTTCGGTCTAGCACTATCTCTTTCCTCATAGATGATTGGCGCTCAGTTTTCATGACAAGCACGATATATAAATTTGAGAGAGATAAAGATAGACCGAAACTTCGTTTCTTCTTTCTTTCAGAGTGCTTCAATTCTCATCTCTAAGGCATGTCCATTAGTATATGTCGATGGGCGTGACGTTACATCTGTCAACATTTTACCCTCATGCGCCTAAACAAGTTTCACTTCAAAAATTTCTGATTAAAGACAATTTGTTTCTTTAAAGTTAAAAAATTGTTCTTAGTTATTATTTTCAACGTATTTTGTGTAATATTATATTATTAAACAGGAAAATGTTGAAACAACACGTCTCCGAAGACGGGAATCACCGCCTTCTCCAAAATAAAGTATAAGTGCTTGTGAAGTGCATACGAATGTCAGTTGTATCGAGACTAGTGTCGTGTGTCGAGCGTCCGACACTGTGAGTGTCATCAGCCATCATGAAGATAGAGGAATGTCTCAACGAACACAACATGAACCAGCGGCTCCTGAGGATACGTTACGCTGTACGTGGACCCATCCTGGAGCGAGCCCTGGCCATACAGGCGGACCTTGAGAAGGTGCCTTCATTATTCACATCACATTCCTATTTCAGACTCTAACATTTGGACCAGTTTGTGTTATCTTAGCTTATTTAATAACATAAGATAATTAAGTCAATTAATGTTGAAACATTATTATATCCAAATAAAAATTTATAATACCAACTTTTTGACATCAGATTATTAAAGCAAAATAGTTCGAAAGAGAGGTTACTTTAATATAGTTGGTTTATATGACCATCCATTTCGGATGAACAAACAAAAAGAAGGTTATTTAGTTAATTTTCGTTTTAAATTTTGTTATTTAATGTTGATTTATGTTTTACGATATCCCGAACATCTCTCCAGGGTGTACGGAAGCCATTCAAGCGTGTAATCCGAGCAAACATCGGCGACTGTCACGCTCTGGGTCAGAGACCGATCACTTTTATAAGACAAGTGTTGGCCTTAGCGACCTGTCCTAGTCTCCACATGTTACAGGACATACCCGAGGATGTAAAGGAACGAGTCAGAGAAATCCTGGGAGAGTGCGTGTACGTTATACATATATGATATAGTTTTGATTATTACAGTAGGATTATAAATTTACTCAGATTCAAATCAGAGGAAATAATAATAAAAGCATTCCTAAATGTATCAGAAATATTTATCCATTACCATGAAAAAAACATACAAAAAAGTTTTTAATAAATTTAGACAGTTCTTTATAACAAACCTGTATATATTAACTCTGTAGTTCTTCTTACAGGAGTGGCTCAGTAGGATCGTATTCACCAGCTCCAGGCCTGTTGTTAATCCGTAAGCACGTTGCTCAGTATCTGACCGCCCGTGACGGAGTGTCCGCTAACTTTAATAACATATATCTCGGCTCGGGAGCTTCTGATCTCATCAAGAGTGTCCTCACCCTTTTTGTGGAAAAAGTCGATGGAAAACCACCAGGTATGCCTATAGATTAAAATATATTTACTTATAAAACATAAAAAATAATATGTAAAACTCTGTGCGTGTAATCTTACATCAACTTCCTCCAGGTGTTATGATACCCATTCCCCAGTATCCGTTATTTTCTGGAACTCTCTCGGAGTTGGGACTACAGCAGGTGGACTATTATTTAGACGAAGATGAGGGCTGGGCTCTGAAGTACGAAGAGTTGGAACGGAGCTGGCGAGCAGCGAGCGAGCACTGTAGCGTGCGAGCACTAGTCGTCATTAATCCTGGGAACCCAACGGGACAGGTTAAAAACGATTAGTTATTACAGTTAACACTTTACATTTTTATTTTATTTATATTAGAAATTATTATATGATATATTCTTTCCCACAAATAGGTTTTGTCGAGAGATAACATCGAAGATATCATAAGGTTTGCATACAAACACAACCTCTTCATCCTGGCAGATGAGGTGTATCAAGAAAATATAATATCAAAGCCCTTTCACTCGTTTAAAAAGGTAAAGGATGAGAAGTTCTATTTGAGTTCCTTGGGTGCTTCGTCAAACGCATTGAATCTACTTATAATATTCTCGTAGGTGATGCATGAGATGGGCGACCCATACAAGCAGCTCCAGTTGTCGTCGTTCCTCACGTGTTCCAAGGGCTGGTCCGCTGAGTGTGGTCTCCGAGCCGGCGTGTGTGAGCTCGTGTCTCTCCAGCCTCGAGTGTTGACAGCCCTGGAGGCGGCGCGGTCCACTCAGCAGTGTGCCAGTGTGCTGGGACAGTGTGTCGTGGATTGTGTGGTCAGTCAATACATACAAGACATGCATATTAATATTAGAATTCAAAATGTTCAAATGAAACTAATATTTTTACTACGATTTACTACGAGTATTTTATTTCAATTTAAATATTCGCGAAAGTCTTAGATCTCATAAATAAAAATCTTTTCACTCGTGTAATAATTAATTACGTATCACACAGTTTGGAACGTTTTTTTTTTAATATAAAAATGTTCGTTAGTGTTAATATTTTAAAGCCTGTGTCTTATTAATCTTGTATATTCTCCAGGTCCGTCCTCCGGCCCCATCTTCTCCGTCGTTTCCTCTCTTCTCTTCTGAACGTGATCGTCTGAGGCGCACCCTCACTGAACGAGCGCTTGCGGCTCACGCAGCTTTCAACTCCATACCGGGTTACTTCTGTAACCCTATCGAAGTAACATCTTTTGTTTTATTCAAACTCAAGTATACACTATTACATATATTCATATATTAAAATATATAATCTCTTTTTAGGGTGCAATGTTTGCATTTCCACGAGTTGAAATACCGGCAAAAGCAAAACAGGAGGCCGGGTTTGGTTCCCGATGAATTTTACTGTTTACGACTATTAGAAGAGACAGGTGAGTCGATGGTTGTGTTATTTGAAACAATTATCATTTGTATCCTAGTCAACTTAACCCGAAGTGTATTCCTGTGATTAAACGTGTATCTTTTGTTTCGTTCCAGGAGTATGTGTGGTGCCGGGGTCAGGGTTCGGTCAGCGTCCCGGCTCGTACCATTTTCGAACCACCATCCTTCACGACAGAGAGGAATTCAGTTACATGCTAGCCTGTATACGACGGTTCCATTTAAACTTTATTGAGGAATATTCATGAACACCATCAATATCCCCACAGTGCTTAAAAGAAATGAGAGAAAATAATTCCCAGTGTACTTTCTTTCAACGTCAAACTATTTTTGTAAAGTGTTCACGTTTATTATAAATAGATGTGTTTGAAATAATTAAAGAACTGTATTACTATAATGAAGTTTACATACTTTGCAATGTTTGTTTATAATATATACACAAATTTTTAAATCCTCACAACTTTTATCTGTTTAAAATAAACTATTCTCATGGATTGAGACGAAACGTTGGACACAACTTTATTGCTATTGCCAATACTGGCACGTAGTTAAGTGACGTCATTTTACATTCAATGTGGCGAACGGATCGCAGCAAATAAAAAATATACAATAGATACACTAGATACAAGTAAATAAAGAAGAGATTGAGTTGATTACTGCAACATGAGATGTATTTAAATTTTATTAAAATTATATAATCTCCTTCTTCTTCTTCCTGGCAATTTCCCAGCTTTAGCTAGGGTCTGCCTTCCCACACAAACGCCTCCACTTTGCACGGTCTTTGGCATCCTCGGTGGTTAATCCATTGTTTATTAAAATTATATAATATGTAATTACATATCAGACTTGCAGTTGTTGAATAGTTATCATCTCCGCGACAATGAAATTCATAATAGTGGACTTTGATTAAAACTGTAAATCATTACTAAATAAAATAATAAAATCTTTTATCGAACTGTGATATATATATTGTATTATTTTGGTTCTTTTGAAGTTGTTTGATGAAAATAGCGATGTATCAAACTATTCATGCAGGTGCTTATACACAAATAACTACTATAAGTATCATCTTATCACGACACACCTCCGTCTCCCGCTCCAGCACCAGGTCCGATGCCTCTCACAGCCTCCACTATAAATATTTCATTCATACATCTATTGATCGTAGTAGTTCTCGCCGCTCACTCCTCGCTGCTCGCTCGTATGAAATGATAATAACATTAAGAATGGAACACTCGACATGTTACATCATATATAAATAAATAATTATATCTACGATGAAAAATTTAACAGATCTCAGTCCGTGACGTTCAGCATGAAGAGGAGACAGTCGGTACAGCTGGCTCGACGTTGTGACCTACTTGTTTTGGTCTTACAAATATTACTTTTGATCAGAATGATTACCCTTCACTATAAGCTGGCAACGTGTTACCGATTGTTTACGTGGCAATCAACCGGTTAGGACGATTTTGATTATTTTTTACTTTATCGACGAGAAGAATTCCTATAAATAAAATATAATAAGACAGCGAACCTGCACAGACAACAAAAGGATTCGAGTACTTTCCTTTTGAAGTGTGCTGAAGTAGATGTTCTGATAGTATTAGATCTGAAACATTATTTTCAGTCGTTTTAATCAAGACTCAAGTTCATTGCACAATAGACTGTGATCTCACAGCCGGCGAGTTCTCTATCTGTGTGTTGGCAGTGAAGGATGTTTGTTTGAGAACGAGACACTTGTATAAAATAGCTCGTATTTATCTTATAAAATGCTCATGTTGATAGAAAGCATTTCTGAAGCGCCGTTCATAATAAATAATCATTATGTATAATACAGTCATATTATGTTTCATGTATTTATTATTTCAATTTAGAGAAAAAGGTAAATTTAATTAAAGTACGGTCTTAAATAAAAACATACAAGGTAATAAATTTATAAAACTCTTCTGAACAATTGTTAGAGAACCACACATTACTGTCCTTAAATTAAACGATCAAATCATATTATATGAAAACTGTATGAAATATTTTAACTTATCGTTAAAAACAAAATTTAATTAATAATACTTTTTAATTAAAGGGAATCATATTAAGTATTTTTAAATCAAATGTTGTAACTGTAACTTTTATTTTCCCACAATATTTATAAGTGAACAAATCTTATTCATCGTAAGTTGTCAAAGCGGAGTCTAATCCCGTTCCCAGAACTATCTCTCGTCATGTATAAAGCTGGTTAGACTGCAGCAGACAGATTGAAATGGAACACTAATTGGTAATTTATGAATACAGAAATAGGCAGGGAAATTGAATTATACACTGGAATTTACTACTGTATATTTTCAGTAAATAGTATAGTACTTTATACAAAAGAAGTAAATCTTGTAGATCGAAGTTTTAGTTAAGTTCAGTTAACTTTATTATTAATTGAAGTAGAACTTTATATTGTACAATTTACAGAACATGTTAAATCACTTTTTAAACGTATCCTCACACCGCCAGCATCCTATATGTAGTCAGTTTGGCGAAATTATACTTGAGAGAGAGGATTGGTGGGTTGGAGGGGGGAAGAAAGTGAACAACTGATTTACCACGTTACCACTAAACAAATATATATGTGTGCAGTATAGTAACAAATAAAATTATGGTTCAATAGAGCTTTATTAATCAACAAATATTTGATAAATAAACCATAAAAAAAATACTAGCATTCAGATATTTATCTAAAGCTGTAAATACATAAGAAGGACGAATTGATAGAATAAGTTGTATAAATATTAAATTATTTATATTGTTTCTGTAAATATTATGAACAGACATAAAAGTAGAAAACATATAGGTGAGACACGCCATCTACAAATACATAGTAACTGTCAAATATAATTAAAAAAAAGTCAATATAACTATGTATGTACTTAAAGGAAGATATTAATATTGTAGTAATTTTTAAGCCTTTTCATGAATTCATTCGAAGAAAATATTCAGTATTTCTAATTCACACTTCCATATATCTGGTGACAGCAACCGCAAGAGCTCGGAAACATCATTAAATGCAGGAAATAACCACGAAGGTGGTGGGATTTTGTATTAACAGATTGTGTGGCATCGATCGTTCAGTTTGAGGGAACCCTCGACTGACGAGGTGACACACAATGACCGCCGCACAGAATAACATAACAATAGATCCTTGTGAGACACAGAGAGAGACGGCGGAGAAATAATAACGAGCGGCATACTGTGGTCTCCTTTAAAATATGGACTATTTGGAATCATTTTATAAACAACTTTATAAAAGTATGCACTTTATAAGGGAACAAGATAATACGTATAATGAAGCATACTCACTTTTCTTTTTTGTTGACGAGATAAGTTTAAAAAGAAATTCCCTTAGATCCAGAAAATGAAGCTTAGCCTTAGCCTTATTGATTAATTAACAACTCATTCTATTTAAAGGACCGGGATGTTCAGAGATGTAATCACTCCGGACGAAAAAAAATAACATTAAAACATAAAGTGTTCAGATGTACACTATTACTGTAACACAAAATGTAAACGAAACCTATGAATCTGTTTAATACATGGGAATATATTAAATTTAAATAATTACATATTAACAGAATTAAGTTGCAGTTTTTATGTTTATTATTTATTTATCTAGGCTTATAATCAGAACTGAACAAACGAGTTATTTTGTCCATTACTTTCTTATCCGTTAAATCGTCAACTATCTTTCTTTATTTAAAAATAGATTGGCCTGCTTTTATGTTCATCATGTATGAACAAAAGCACAGTAAGCAGAACTTGTATAACAACATGCTAAGCCGCACTTCCCACGATATAATTATATTAAAAAGCACAACGAACGGGAACAATGCAGCTCCATGTTAAACACAAAGTAGAGCGCGTCCAAGTATTGTAATGGAAGAATCGCATGTCCCATACAACTGTTCTACAATAGCTTCCACTCGATGTGTTACAGCCTAGCGGCCGACCTTAATGTGAGCGCGCTGGATACAGTGCGTTATAACAACAAATAATATGAGAACTAAATCATTGTGTAAGATGTAGATACGATGATGAAATTCACTAAATAATAGTTACATACCGCAGTCACGACCATAATAAAAAAAATATACGAAATAAAAATAAGTTTAAGATATTTTTTTTTTCTTACTTTCCATTTGACGTGATGAGGATGTATTCTGTGTGAATAGAAAACTTGTCTCTAGTCTGTTTATTTCAGAAATTAAACTAAAACAAGTTCTATTTAAATAAATAATATCTCCTTTTAAAACATTCACCCCGAACAATACAAACGAGTGATCGAATTGTTTAGGCGTATTTATTATGTTTTTATTTTAACACTTTCCATTGTATGATCGATTAATGATATGGAATACAGTTTTCATATTTTTTATGATTTGAACTGTATACAAGTGTTGAATAACAGTTAACGTATGGCGCTTGTTACTGTGAATGCGAAGAAGCTTTGGTGAAGATAATAGAAGTACAAAATGTTAAGACAAAACGAAGTTGTTGAAGTTTTTCCTCCATAGTTATAACACCTTAACCATCACTGATTAATGCTGATTCCCAAAAGAGGGTTGATGTCAGGCAGGCGGCCGGTCGTAAAAACATGTAAGGCAGACCCTGGCTATCGCTGGGAAATGTCCAGATAGAAGATAGATTTGTCAAACAAACATTAGATATACAATATAGTAACAACTGATTAAAGAAAAATATTTTATTTACTTCTGCACTCTTCAAGTTTCAAAACCACTGTGAAATCAATGGAGAAAATACTACAATAATACTAACCAATCTACAACGTAGTCGAAACTGTATAGCTGCTCCTTATATAAAAAACAAAAGCAGTCACAGCATTGATCTAGAAGCTATACGTGGGGTCTGTGGACTAAATGAATAATTATAGGGGAACCAGGGTAATACGGGAAACCAAAATAGAACAAAACCTGTAAAAGCAGTAATTGCTACATAAAAACAAAAGAAAGCAATTTATTTTAACCTTATACAAATATAAACTTAGACACTTATAAACAAAGGTAGGCCAGATAAGAGGGGTAGCATCGACATCTCAACGACGTACAGACTAAGAAATGAAGTTAGAAAGAACGAACAAGTGTGAAGAATAAGTGTGACCACAGCTTGTGAGCAGTGGCGTGCACAAAGATTTCAGGTAGGGTAAGCAGAATATGTTTGAAAAATAAAATACAAAATATCATCATCTCAG